ATTAAACAATATTTTTTTGTTTGGTCTTGAAATTATTCATATGAAGTTTTCAAAGTTGAGAGAATAATTTCTAATTTTATTTAATGTAGTAGTGATTTTGAATTGATAACCCTAGATTGCCAGCCACGAGTAAAATTTACTCACTTTAAAAGCGTCGTGTTTGATTTTGTTGTCTCTTCTGCATGCATTCTATAATATATTCGCTCTTGCTATTAATGCATTATATTCGTTTGTAACAAGAAAATCCAAAAAAAGGGGACCTCTAGAATTGTGTGAGTAAAATTTACTCATAGTTGGCAATTAGCGTAAAAAAATAAGGGCTACAATTCTGCCTGAATGATTAAGCATTATTATACTTTAATAATTAGTATTTTTTTTTTTTTGGAAATTTCATGTGTAAGTAAAATTTACTCACAGTTGGAAAAATAAGAGCACAAAAGTGGGTTGGAATTCCAGGGTTAAATTTATGAATAAAATTATTTAAAATATAAAAATTATAAATGTATACAAATATGTATATAATGTTTTATCATATTACAATAAATATTTTCTTCATTTCTTTTTCATTTAGCGAATAACACTTGTTATTACATAGACCATATCGAAACAAGATGTTATTTAGAAAATAACAGTGTTCATAATAATTCTTCTGTTTTAAAAATAAAAATTATAATCTTAACAATTTTCAATTGTTTTTTTTTTTTTTAACTATAATAATTGTTATTTTAAGCTCAAAAAAATAACTATACTAAAATTAGGAATAAATTGCCTATAAACAACACATTTACGTACATGTGTTTTTAGAATTTTTCCTAAAAATATTTAATTATTATAATTAATTTTTTTTATTTTATTTTAGGTAAACAAGTGTTTTTCAAATTAATTCAATTTATTTATCCATGTACAATATTATACGAGTATAAAGTTAATAGATAATATGAAAAATTTACAATTTTCCTCTGAATTATACTTTGTATACACAATTCTAAATAAGTAATTAAATGAGTTAGAAATTCGATAGAATGAAATTTGTTAAGCTAATCTTGTTTAATTTTTTTTTTCAACAAATTCATAGTTGAATAAAATTTTAATTAATATTTAAAGTAATTTTTTTTTATATTTAACATTTATTTTTAAAAATTTTAAAAGCAAATTTTTATTTAAATAAAATATTAATGATTATTATTCTAATTTAAATATAAGGAGTTTTCGGATCAAATATAAAATTTCATTTAATATGGGTCGAAAACAAATCATAAAGAAATTACGGTAAGGCAGCTGCTTATATTATCTGGAATTATAACAAAAAATATTGTTGTGCTACGAAATTTTCAGTTAAATAGATTAAATTTTTTTTATTTAAGAATTTAATTCATGAATTTATTAAAATATAATTTTTTTTTATGAAAAATGTCCAAAAACTGATTACAGTTTTAATTATACAGAAATAATTATCAAAGAAATTTGTTATAGAATTTTAACTTTGTCGACAGTAAAGCATGTGTTACGAACACAAAATATTTTATAAAAGAACACAATTTTCAATATTATTTTTAGCAGAAGTAAGGACTTTTGCTTTATTCTATAATACTAAATATTATGAAGATTGTTCAATTCTGACTGATCAATAGAAAATTCGATATTTTACCTAACCATCTTTCATCATTCATTATTATACACAAGTTTTGCATACGTATACGTAATGAGATAAATATTTTCTTTTAGTAAAATTTCTGCAATATTCTTTTCATAATGATCTATTGTAAAGTGTTGGCAAAGGATTTATTTATTTTAAAATATTATGAACGATTTTCCTATTCTACTTTATTAAATCTTGCTTCATTCTCTTATGCCTACAATAAATATAGAATTATTGAATAATTTTGATATATATATGTATGTATTTATTTTAGAAAAGCAAACCTAAAAACAAATTGCAATTTTTTGTATTGTTAGAATTTGTTTACAAGAATTTTAATTTTGTTTAATATTCATTATATTAAACTAAATTGATTTTAATATTAAATATTTAATATTAATTAAATTAAAGAACTAAATCATTTTTTGAATGTAAATTATTGTAATTTTCGAAAATATTCACAAAATATTAATTACACCTATACTTTATTGTAATCTATTCCGCGAATTGAATGTTTTTTTTGCACTGCATGAACAGTGTAATATACAACATGTTTATTGTATGTGTTGAATTAAAATTTAGCATAAATACGATCATTTTCAAAATTTCAATGATTTATATATTACGCTACCATAATACTCGTAATATTTAAAGGATATACAAATATAAAATGATTGCTATGTCATTGAAATTATTTATTTTTTGAAATACAAAAGCATATGTATGAAAATTATACGAAATAAAATTTGTGTGTTATTTGTGTGTACAGCTATAGGGTATGTTAGAAAATTTATGCATACAATATTATTTTTATAAAACATGTTTTGTTTTTTTTTTTTTTTTGCAATCACCTTAGTACATAAAAAACAAGAAAATAAACAAACACCTGTGCAATTTCATGTGATTTTTAATTGTAAAATGGTTTTCATTTACACACCACCAAAATATCAAAGTTTTGGGGAGTAAGTTTTTTTTTTATTTTTTGTAACAAGCAAATGAAATTTTTTCGTAATTTTGCTAAGAAAAATAAAAAAAAACCAGAATTTTTTTTAGTCTAAATAGAATGATTTTATTTGTTAAAGTATTTTTTTTTTTTTTTTTTTTATTTTTATTTGCATGAGATAATAAAATAGCATTGACTGTGCGTAACCGTTGTGTACATATATTAAAGAAAACAAGGTTTTCCACGATTTTTTTTTAATTATATCGCGATTTTTTCTTTTCTTAAATTTTCTGATATTTTCTTTATTTTCTTGTTAATTTTTATTCTTCTTATATTTTTATAAAATTGCATTCACAATTTTTTTGTAAATATCAATATAATAATAAAAATATATATATGTATGGAAGTGTTATTTGTATATGTGTTAAATGAGAACACGTGGTTTAATTAAAAAGCTTTAATTTTATATACATAATGTTATACCTTTCACACATTTTGTTTTAAGTATAGTGTTGTGTTGTGTTGCGTATTGTGTTATGATAGTATTTTATTTTTTAAAAAGAGAGATTAAAAAGAAAAACTCTTTTTCGCATTCTCATTTAAAATAATAAAGAAAAAATTTGCATTTTGGAGAATAAAATATTTAATAGATTTTTTTTTAAATTATTGAAAAGTTTTGTGATAGTTGAAAAAAATAAAAATTTAATGAAATATATTGAGAATGCATAATATAATAATCGTTTACTCACAATATAATTATGAATTCAATTGAATTTTCATTACAAAACAATTACATCAATTATTGTAAAAGAAGAAAAAAAGAAAAAGATGTTTGTATGTAAGTTATTATGAAACCTATTTCCCTTATATAGGCTTATATTATATTATTGTGAAAATGTTGCATGGAATTGAGCAATAAAATTAGTAACTATTTATTTTTAAGCTATTTAAATTTCCTTAATTCTTTGTTATATTTTAAATCAGTTGAATTTGATTTTAAGAAATCCTTTGGAAAACAAAAAGGTCGAGGTCATCTAAAGATATGAAAAGAAGTTATAAATTAAAAAATTTTATAACTTCTTTTCATATATTCTTACACAATCTTAATAATTGAAACTACATGTAAATATATTGAGCGTGTGTTTAATTAAAATGAAATGCTAAGTGATTAGAAGACACTCCTTTCCGATATTTTCTTGCAACATATGAATATGTTAATTTTTAAAATTTCATTTTTGTTTGCCGTGTATTACAATATTTGTATTACAATAAAACAGTATTACAAACAGTATTACAATATTTTATCCAACATACGTACATATTTAAATCCAATACACTCAGGAGTCCAAATGAATGTTAGGACTTTACAAGTTATATTGCATAATATAGCTTAGGGCTTTATGTTTACATAAGTATATGAAATTAGTTTAGTTCTTATACATAATTATAATAATTATTTACATTATAATAGCTTAAATTCATATTATCTTCTTTAGTCAAGGATACACTACTCTATTTAACAATATTATTATATTTTTACCATACGAGTATATAGACTTAAAACCTTTTGTATTTTTACAAGTGAATTTCAAAAAGAATACAACAAAAATTCGATATTGTGCAAACATTTTCACCTATACCTCGTAAGTATATAGTAATGCTCATTTTTATATTTTTCCCTATATGAAAAATTTAATCCTTACCAAATAGTTTATATTATATTAGTAAAAATCTCAGTATAATAAGCAACATATAAAAATATTTTTATTTATTTTTCAAAATTTAACAGCAAAAATATTATGTGATTAACTAACAACAATGAGTGCCCGAAAAAAAAAAGTCGACTAAAATCAAGGCAATTGAGATATGACATAAAAAAAAAAAAAAATTTTTTTTTTATTCAGTTTCTAAAAATTCAAGTTTATTGACAAAAACAAAGAAAATCAAAAAAATTTTCACAAATAATAAAATTAAAAATAACAAAAGCTCGCGAAAAACAACGAGAGACAGAGAGAATATAAGAGCAAATAAATTTTTCGACTACTACAAAATTTGAAATACAAAAAAAAATTAAAAAAAAAAACTAACCCAACTCAATATTAAATGTATTATTGCATTTTCAGAGGCGTACTCCCAAATATTCAATAATTAAAAATTTTACTACTTTTATAAATTTAATAACTATCTTGTATTTTCGAAGTGAATTTTACAATCACAATCAAGTAAAAAAAAGCTTTTCAATAACAGTGAATGTATTATAAAATTAGTAGATCATGCAACGTATACTCAAAATAAAAGCTCTGTTGAGAAAAAAAAAAATTAAAAGAAGAAAAAAAAAAGGAAAGAAAATAATGAACCGAAAGTATATAACCGGCTTCAAACAATTCAATAATTTCAGTCTTTTCGCTACCACAGTCGAGTTAACTTCGGAGAAAGAAAAAGAAAAATTGAGAAAAACAAAACGGTTTTTAAAAAGCTCTATTTTGTTCGATACTAATTTATTTGTTCGCTTTTATTTCATTTCGTTTTTTTTTTTTCAAAATTATTTTTCACATTTAATTAATAAAAGAAATATATTTCCAAAAAGAAAATTTTAATAAATAAATTTTTATATTAACAATTAAAATTTAAATTAAAAAAAAATATTCTCATCTTGTTACGTATGTGTTTTTTTTTTTATTAATTTTTTGGAAATTAAAATTTTAATGCCTTAACCATTATTAAAAAATAATTTTGTATTTTTAATATTCATATAGTTCGAGACTCGAATACTATACCATATAATTAATTATAGAAAAGGATATACTGGAATTAATTTAAATAATAATTTGCAAAAAATAATACAAATAAAAAGAAGAAGAAGAAGAAGAAGAAGAAGGAAATAAAATAAAAAAATTAACAATAATTTTTGGATAATATTAAAATTCTGATGTGATATTTTTGGTGCTATTTATTAAAAATTGAAAAAAAAAATTGAAAAGAAAGGAAGTATATTTAAAAATTTTTGTATGAACAAATAACAATTTGGATAAAATATTCAACATATGAAAAATTAAGAGAGTGGATACTTCGAAATAATTTCTGTGTGCTATAATTTATATATTTTTTTAATCAGTAATTAAATTTTTAAATTAAAAATATTTAATAAAACATAAACACAATTAAAAGTAAATAAGAAAAAGAAATCTTTTTTAAAAAATTAATAATATTTAATAAAATAATTATTTAAAATTATTTGGAAAATTTAATTATAATTAAATTTGAAAAATTTTCAAATTACATAAGTCTCACCAAATTATTCAACAATTGTTACAACAACAACAACAACAACAGTAACAGTAACAACGATAATGGATTTATTAAAATATTGAACTTTATTTTTGGTTATTAACGTTTTAAGAAACACGAAAAAATAAAGAGCAAACATTCGGTAACAAAGTTACTCACCTCAAAAATTTTGTAAAATAAAAAAAAAATTATACATACATATAAATATATATTTATATAATTTTTTTTTTTTGAAGAAATTAAAAAAGAAAGACTGTATATACCTTGTATATATATATATATATATAGATAAATAGATTTACGTGTATATATAGAGATAGTTATTTTATGTATGATTTATTTCGCAACAGACCATAAAAACCATTAAATGTGAAAGTAAAAATTTTTCATATTACATACTTATAAACGAATAAAAGTTAAAAGAAAAGAAACCGAACAAAAAAGAAGAAGAAAAAAAAAACGTGGAATAATTTTTCTTAATGCTATTGAAGCGAGTGAACTTCTTATAATCAAAAAAAAAAAACAAACAACAAAAAAAAGAAAAAAAAAAGTAACAAAATTTTTTAATTTTTTATTTTCGTGTATAACAATCAATAATTTAAGTGAACAATTTTTTTTTGTACTCCAAAAATTATTTTAATTTTTTCAACTATTCGAACTATAATACAAGTACATATACATATACATACATATATAATCTATAAAATCATATAATAATCCATTTATCTTTTTTGGAAAGCAATAACAGCAGTAATATATTTAAAATGGAAAATCAGATTAAAATGGATTTAAAAAATAAAACATGTTCGATTGTAAATGTAAATGAAGTTAATAACTCTGAGACTGACATTATCGCTAATGAAAATCAAGAAAACTCACAACAGCAAAAACAACAGCAACAAGAAAATCAATTTGTTCATTACGAAACTAATCAAGAATTACCACCCTTACAATCAATAGATAAAAATTTATTTATTGATAATTCAATTATGTTGAATGATGATTTGAATGCAAACAATAATCAAATCAATAGAGATTATTTAGAATTTACAAAATCTTCATTAAATAATCAAAAATTGCAATCTGAATGTATTTTACAACAACAAACTGATAGTGATAATATTGAAGATAAAATTAATTTAATTCCATTATCATCATCGATCGATTTAAATAAATCAATAAAATCATCAGCATCAACATCATCATCATCATCATCATCAGTATTAATATTAAATACTGAAAATAATCAATTAATTGAACAAGTACAAAATTATAATAATGATAAACCGACAACGTCAGTAATTGAAATAACATCAACAACACCAGCCATAATACCAGTAACAATAGAAGACAAAACTACAAATAATGCTATTATTGAAATAACTAAAGAAAGTGAAAGTTTAAAACAACAACAACAACAGCAAAATTATAACAACGATAATAGCATAAACGCTCTGAGAAATGAAAATGTTAATAAAATGTATGAAATGAAAGAAAAAACAGAAGAAAATAATAAAAAAATTAATTGTGATAATATAAAAAATTTTGAACTACAACAACAACAACAATCACCAGAGCAACATAATAATGAATTATTGCCAACAACAACAGCAACAATTGCAATGGAAGCGGCAAAAGCAGCAGCAACAGCAGCAGAAAAACTTGAAAATTTAATATCAGCTGTTTGTAGTAATAATGAAAATAATGAAAGTAAGAGTGAATGTTATAATAGTAATAAACAAGTTTTAAGTGATAATGATGATCAAGGTATTGATATTGATGTTATAACAATTTCTTCAACAGATGAAAATGTAATGGATAATTTAAAAGATGTTGAATTTGAGAAATTTCAAGAAGAATTATTAAAAAATTTTAATAAGAAAATATCTCAACAAAAACAAAAAGAGCAATTAGAAAAGGAACTTAATGAATCATTAGAAAAACGTGAACAACAGTTATTAACTGAAAACTCATTAAAAAATTCATTAAATTTACAAAGAACTCATTCCAAAACTGAAAGTGTTTTAGAATATTTGAATTCTGTTGAACCAACAGTAACAGAAATACAAGAGAAATTAATTGAATTTGATGGTAGTAATACTGCTCAATCATCAGATAATGGTTCATCTTTATGTTCAACAAATGTATTAAATGATTCTGAATCAGAAGAAGATGATCAATTAAAACCATTGATGCAAGATAATCATACAATTGTTGTTAATCATGAATTCTTTGTTTACAATAATAGTAATGATAAATATCAACAAAATCCAAGCTATAATGATATATTATTAAATAAAAGATTAATCAGTAATAATAATAATAGTAACACTTGTAGTTCAACTGATAGTGATTTATCAACCCAATTTGATCATCGTGATTTAACAACAATGTCACAAAATTCATTAGAAGATTATAATGATTCTGGTTTAGATACTCTATCACAACCATTCATTAATAAATCATCTACAAAAGAGATTCATTTAAAACAATTTGAACCAATACCACCAGCTCCAGCGACTACTCCTGTTACTGGTGTTCCAATAATGGCTAATAATGTACCATATAATCCAATGCAACAAGAATCAGAAGAAAATGAAATTCGTGAAATTGATACATTGTCACCAATTGAAATTCCAGATGATAAATTATGTGAAGACATTGTCGAACAAGTTGAATATTATTTCTCAAATGATAGCATTCTAAAAGATGCATTCTTATTAAAACATGTACGTCGTAATAAAGAAGGATTTGTTAGCTTAAAGTTGGTATCAAGTTTCAAACGGGTACGTCAATTTACAAAAGATTGGCGTGTTGTCGGTATTGCAATTGAACGTAAAAGTAAAAAAATTGAATTAAATTCTCTTGGTACAAAAATTCGTCGATTGGATCCATTACCAAATTTTGATGAAACAATGCCATCAAGAACAATTGTTGTATGTGATTTACCATTTGAAAAATTATCAATTGATAAGATAACTGATATTTTTTCGAAATGTGGTGAAATCGCTTTAGTAAGAATATTAAAACCTGGTATGCAAATACCAGTTGATGTACGTCAGTTTATGAATAAATATCCGGAAATGCAACAAAAAGAGTGTGCTTTAGTTGAATTTATTGATTCAGCATCAGCACGTTTTGCTAAAACAATGCAAGGTAATTATAAAATTTTCGAAATGGTTGCACCTAAAAAGAAAACTGGTAAAAAATCAATTACCACAATTACGAAATTTATTGAGAATTACAAATATCCAGATGCAAATTATGAGCGTACACGTGGCGGTATTGAAAATGGCCACCATTATCATCAAAGTTATAATAGTAGTCACGGGCAAAATATTAATTACAATAGTAACAATCAACAAGGTCACAACAATCATTATAATTTAAATCACAATCAAATATTACAAAGCAATAATAATAGTAATTTTGAAAATGAATATCGCCCGAAATTACGATCTAATTATGATGTTCGAAATTCACAACAACAACCACAACAAAATCAAGAATCACATTTACAAAATCATATATATCAACCACCATATATACCACAGAGAAGATTTTCAGTGAATGATCAAGAAAATAATCGAGAACATATTCAAAATATGAATAATATGAATAATCAAATTAATACAAGCAATTTCGTTGGTAATAACAACAATAATAACTTACATTTTAGTCATTATTCACCACGTCGTTTAAGTAATTGTTCAGTTAATGAATTACAATCACGTAAATATTCATCTTGTTCTGAAGGTTATTCCAGTTGTTCAGATTATTCGAGACGTGCATCTTTAACATCATCTTCTCAAGATTCATCATCAAGAAAAACATCAGCCAGTTGCTCTGATTATTGTCCATGTTCTAGACGTACATCACAATGTTCAGATATTTATCGTAAAATATCACAACAATCTGACATTGTTAGCTCATCACCAAATCGTCGTTTTTCAAATGGTTCATTTCATGGTTTTGAACGACAATATAGTAATACAAATGATCCAATACTTTTATCAAATAGCCATAATAATAATATGAATAGTAATAATACAATGAGACGTGTTTCATTTGATTCCAATTATGATCGTAAAATATCTTCATCATCGATCAATAGTAATAATAATAATAATAATATAAATAATTATAATAATACATTAAATAATAATAATAACAATAATATTAATAATCAACAACAACAGCAACAACAAAATGGCCAATATATTTGTGATAATCATTATCGAAAATATTCAAATGGTTTTGATCCAAATCGTAAATTATCTTATACCGATCAGTATTTTAATGGACGTCGTATTTCAACTGATTCTGGTTATGATCGTAAATTATCATTTAGTTCTGATATTAGTTCAACAAGTACATCACCAAGATCAAGAGCAAATAGTTTTATATTACCAAGTCAACATAAAACTGCTGCTGAAATACTTGTAAGAACACCAATTGGTCCAGATGGTAGTAAAGGATTTGCATCAAGAGCTAGAAAAGTTGGACAAATACAGTCTGTTAATTAATTAAATAAATTAAAAAAAAAACAAAAGTATAAATATTAATGATCATTTGAATGAAATTCATTTAATGTATATATATATATGTATAATATAAAGTACTTATATACAATATAGATTTATATATATATAGAATATTTATTATATAATTATAAATAATTTCTATATTATGATATTGTTTTTTTTTTCTTTTGCTCAGTTTGAAATTTTCATATACATAAAATTATATTTATTCAATAAAGATATTCTTAATTAATTGTCGTTATTTATTGTAAGCGTTTAATATTAATCATTCTTTAAAATTTGAAATTCTTTATGTTTAAAATATAATTATGAAATTTGATTCAAATTTTATGTAAAGTAATAAATGAAACAAACAACCTATATATATATATATAGGTTGTTAATGAATATTATATGAATAAAGTAAATACATTGTATTTTTATAAGAATTTAATAATGCTCTTTTGATTTAAACTAAAATAAAATTAATAGCCCTTCGTAAGTTAACCTTTTTTAAGTCCTATGTAGCTAGTTTCGAATTAATACGCCCTATACGTATTAAATATTTGTAATAAGAATTAAAAATTTTAATCTCTGGAAATTTATTACGCATGCATATTTGCAAGAGAATTTACATTTTGAAATTTACTGTCTTCATTTTAGTAATGGCCTAGATTTGTCATGAGTCAGTCTAATATTTTGTTCAAATTTCGTGCTACCTTAAATAAATATTGCCCTCATGCTTTTGTGGTAGAAATGTATTATAACAGTATAACGGATTACAATATTTCTTATTATATATTTTCTGCATCGCTTACACTTAAGTGGACTTAAGCCACTTAATACGTGTTTATGTTTTTTTTTTTAATTAAATTACATGAAAATTGCTTATTGAATATATTTAATACCCTATATAATAGTATATATAATCCGATATAAAATAGAATTTTAAAATATAAAATTGTATTGTGTTTATATTCAAAAACTGCAAATATATTATGTAAATTCTGTTATATGCCTTGAATATTTAGAAATAATATGAATGTGGGACTTATTTTAAAATGGTATAACAGAGTAATGGTAAACTATGGTATAACAGTATTATTTTATTGTGAGAATAGACTTATATGAATTAATACATAATTTTCTTTTGATGCGGTTTTGGATTAAACTATTAAAAATAGAATTGCATATAGAAAAGAGTAAGAAGATGAGTTTGGGTGCTTAAGATTAAGTTTTCTACTTGTAGATTGTAAAATCAAGAATCAATTTACAATATTTTAAATTATTCTATAAATTCTTTATTTATTAAAAGTATACGAAAATTTTAAATACGTTTAAAATTTTAAAAAATTTTTAATTACATTCGTATTGCGATTTTATATAATATTTGTGTGCACTAAAATCTGTTAATGTTATATCTGCTAAATATTAAATTCAATAACTTACATAATATGCTAACGGTAAAATACATAAGTACGAGTAGCAGAAAAATTCAACTATAAAATCAGAAATTTCAAACAATTCAAAAATTGAATACTTTGTTTTTGTTATCACATTAAAATTAACAATCAAGTTCAAATTATTTATTTAAGCAAATTAAAATATTCGGTTAAAACTAGAAATAATCAATTATTTTCAAACATGTAAATTTTTTTTTAGAATTACCAGATTGTACAATAATAATTAATAAAATCTTTTTCGTTAAAAATTTGAATATTGCATAACTACAAGGGGTTTATATATCGTGATGTTAATGCTACAACTACAATGCGCAATTATTGGTTTAGTTTAGAGATATTGACTTTTAAAAATACAAAATTTAGCAAATAATTTATAATGAAGACATCTAGTTTTGACATTATCATTTTCAGGTATTTAAGAATACTTTTAAGCTTAGATATTGATCACAGATGAAAGAGCATTCGATTTTATAATGCCTAGATTAATTATCTGAAAATATAAAATTTTCAAGTTATGTAGTTGTAGCATTAATCTCACATACAGGAAAATAATAAATTTTTAAGTAAATTCGCTTTGTATTTTTTAGTATCCTTAATTACGCAGCTGAATTTTTGTTGAGGTTAATGAATTTTAATTAAATATATACTCTTTTGGAAATTATTATTTTATAATAACTGCAGTGCAGTGTTAATTGCATCTTAATTAATTTATTTAGAATTAATAAAATATTTTATTATTACAAATATATGGGAGCAATTGGCAACATCTTAGAGTTAAATAATGAATTTTGATTCAAAATTTTTTTATACAAAATCGATATGGCATGTTTACATCTGTAAGTAATGTTACTAATGATTTTAACATTGTAATATTAATAGTTTTCATATAACAAACAAGCTAATGGGACTAACAATTATACAATCGTAAATGCTCCAAAAAGTGCTCCAAAAATTTTTAAAATCTCGCATATTGTATATCTAATATACATAAATATAACAAAAGAAGAACATTTTTATTAATTGTGAAATGATTGATTTCTCATTTTTATTCTATATGAGTAAATGAATTTATTGATTAAATATATATATGTACGAGAGTATATGTATATAGAGAAATTATACTCTTTCTTATAGCTCATTAGCATATTAAATTAATCATAAATATAGAGAAGATAATGGGGGTTTTTTAATGACCGCGTCTATGTAAACACACTAGATATAATTTATAAAAATATAAAAATTGAAAGTATAACAAAAATTTATTATATCACAGTATCATAGTAGATATTAATGGCATTATTATAAATAAAAATTTGATTTTTAAATTGGTGTCATAAGTATAAATTTAGATTAACTTCTAAAAAAAATTTTGGACATTTTAATAAAAATTTCAGGGTAATAATAATTTCGTTAATGAAATTGTAATTTTTTAAAAATCTACACATACAACTGGTTTGTATACAGGCATTAAATTATAAATTAGAATAAAATTAAAGAAATTTTATACAAACATACAAAATTTAATCAAAAAAAAAAAAAAAATTATCCTATTCTTCTCTACCTAATTGATATTAAATATTTATTTTTTCATTTCATTTCATTTTATAAAATTATAGACCGGCCATTAAGAAATGATCTGCCCTCTTATATATATATATATAACATATGTATATTGTTTTTAATTTCAATTCAATAAGAACCATTATGTTAATTTTATTTTTTTTAATATTAAAATTTGTCATAGATTAATTATTCAATTTAATATTATCGTATATATTTTATATAATTATATATAAAATTTATATTATATAGGATATTATATTACGTTTAAAATTTATACTATATGAGAAACGGATGTTGTTTTTTTTTAGATATAAAAAGTAGCAGATCAACTTTTTAAAACATCTAGTTCACACAAAATATTCAGAAAGGCGAAGAAAAAAAAATTATAACATATAATACGAGTATAATATGTGTATATGTATATGTTTATATAATAGATATTGGTATATAAAATGTTGAACTATAAACCTTAAATCAATAATCAAAATGAATTTTTGTTTTTTTTTTTTTTTTTTAAAAGAATTTTGATTTTAAAGAAATTTTAGAAAACAAAAAATTACAAAATAAAAATTTTTATGCGTTCTTAAAATTTATTTGAATATTTTAGATTTCGAAATAAATTCCAAAATTTCATCCTTTGTTTAATTGTCTGAACTTTAAACTAAGGGTTTATATTGTTTAGGAATCTGAAGTTAATGACAATTGAAAGTTGTCTTATGGGAATAAATTGGCAATTATAAAAAATATTGTGAATAATTCTAAACATTTACAGATAATTTGGCATTTTTGTGCAAAATAATTGCATTTTCAGAATAATATTTGATTTGTATGGAGGCCTTATATTCTCAATTAAGACTTCTTGATGAATGTTTAATGAAATTTCTTATAACTAAAATCTATAAAGGTACTTGTAATTTGAACATACATACTAAATTTTGATTAATTAGAAAAATTTTAATAAATATTTAGCAACTTTATACAAAATTTTTCATGTTTCTTATGTACATACATACAATATAAATATATATGTATATAAGAGTGATTTAAGAACATAAATACAAATCAATATACAATATGTTAAATTATGTACATATATAAATTGTAAATAAATAAAAACAACTTTAAACCAGACATTAATTTACATAGTCAAGTAAATTATTGTTATTTGTTATATAAATCAATTTTTATATTATTTATTTACTTATTTATAATAATAAGTAAATAAATAATATAAAATTTGGTTAAAAATTTAATTTATAAAAATTTCGCATCTTCTTTTTGATTTTTTGTTCTTTTCTTTACATACATACTTTTGTATTAGAACTTTATGGAATTTTTTTTAAGAGGTGAACGTGTGAAATTTATATGAGGAATTTTTCACGTAGGAGAACAATTTGTAAGTACTATAGGTTGTGGTTACATATAATTAAAGTAATTAACTTTATTAATGATGATAATTAAAACATATATGTACATACTGAAGGCATCTTAAATTTATTATTTAAATAAAAACGATTTATTTACTTACATACATATATTGTATATACATACATATATACTTATTGGAGAATTCCATATTTAGTTGATAATAATTAATAAAACTCCATTTGTTAAAATTTTAAACATTTCAGCTTTGATTAACAAAATTTTCCTGTAAAAAAAATTATGATAAATGCAATTTTGTTTCTTGGATGCGGTGGGAATGCTTTGATAAAATGCTTATTGTTGGCTTTATAAATTCTGAAAAAAATCCGCTCAATCTAAAAATAAAAGAAAAAAATAATAAAAAAAGAAATATTAAATTTCAAAAATTTTATAAAAATTATTTTTTGACAAAAAATGCCCAACTATTTATGTGTACTTAAATTTTTCAAAATTTAATTCTTTTGATTTGAAAATTTTGACATTTTAAAAATTTTTTTCTCAAAAATGAGATTTTTTTTTTGGTAAGTTATTTTTTTGCTCAAAAATTTTACTCATTCTCTATAGAATTTTATAACATTCAATTTTGTTGGACGAATTTAATTTTGAAATTCAAAGTAAGAAGTAAATTAAAAATTTATTTTTATTTTTAAAGTATTAAAAAAGTAAGTGAATTATAAATTAAATTTTTTAAAATAGTTGTGCTTTGAGTAACATGTTATTTCAAGTTTCTTACAGGCTGAAAATTTAAATAACTATAAATGGTATATTATTAAACTCTTTAACACACTCACAGTGTAGATTACTTCTTTTTGTTCTA